GCAACATTTCTGAAACATTTCAAGACAACTTCAATTGATATATTCCGAAACATTCCAAAATTACTTGAATGATAAATTAATGAAACGTTTCAAAATCACTTCAATTGAAACATATCATTCAATACTGATTCAGGGATGTTCCAATGCGTTAGGAATATGTTTGAAAAATTCTAAGGCTCCTCAAATTATTGACATTTTGACACATTTATTAGGAATTGCTTACCTACTACAATATTCCAAGACATGCAACTTGAATTGGTTAATTTAAGAATATTTCAAAATAATCCGAATTTTAATAAATTAATTAGATTATTTCACAACTATTACATGGTCTATTTTGACCAAGCATTTTATCATATTATGATGCAATTCAGCATTTCCCCTCTACAGCCGCCGCTTTCGTGGCTTCGGTAATCGATCGCGGGTTCCCGTCTTCGGCTCTAAGCGTTCGCGCACGCGCACGCGCAACGCGCATTCAGTTTCCTGCTCCTTGGTGAAAGGCTTCGCAGTTTTCGCTTTCCGACTGTTGTCTCAAGCCAAGCAAAGCAAAAGACATCTAATATATTATAATAGTGATAAAATATAATTATTTCACTCAAGTCAAACACATTTTCGAGTGTATACTATTTAATCGTACCGGTAGACCTCTTAGGTGATTTAGGCCATGTGAAGTAACATCAAAACTTGCAACCAAACAAACAACACAAACGACTCCATTTTTTTTATTATCCCCTGGTGTGGCTGGACTTTGAAATGTATTCAACGGCTCCATGGACAAGGCCGAGGTACGTATAAATATAGAAAAACCATAATTTCAGATGAAATATCAAATACTTATTATTAGATATCATGATGGGTATATTCATAATGATACTTTTTGTTCTAGGATGGAGTGTGTGACTTAGAAGCTGCACAAGAATAGTGCTTTCAATTGCGATGTAACCGAAGAAAAATATTGAAGCACTCAACATGTGAATAACGATGTTAAATTACTTGATATATATGTACAAACCTAATACGTCGTGATTATGTGAAATATCTGATGATACTTTTTCAACTGCTTTTTTCATATATCATTATATAAGCAATATAATCCATTTTTTTATGTCTATTATATTTTATTTCACCAGGAATATGAATATATTCCAGCGATATTGGTAGGTATTTTTCATTATGAAACATTCAATGGGAATGTTTCATAAACAGTAATATTGTTGAATGAAAAACATTCATGAAATGTTTCATGAAACATTCCCGAAAGTTCTACAATGAATGTTCCCAGGATGTTTCTATATATATGTATTTGAAACATCATTTATGGAACATCTCTGGTGGCGAAAATTTATCGTTTCGAAAATATTCATGGAATGTACCAAGAAACATTCCTAAAGATCTAATCATATTGGGAATATTTCCAGAATGTTTCAAGCATTTGTATTCGAAACATCATTCATGAAACAGTTTTGAGGGCAAATATCTCTGGTTTCACGAATATTTCTGAAACATTTCATGTAATATAACGAAAGAAATATTTATGAAATATTGCATGGAACATTCCTACAGGATATGATCATGGTAGAAATGTTTCCAAAATGTTTCAATTTGCGTATTCGACACATTATTTAGGAACATTACCATGAAACATTCCTGAGGGCGGACATCTCTAGTTTCTGGAATGTTTCTGGAACATGTAGGCAACTTTGAATGCAATGTTTCATGCATCAATACTACGTTTCTGAAACATTTCAGAAACAAAAAAATGTTTACTGGGTGAGATCATTGGAGTTCAAAAATGTAATTGGTATTTGTTTCATAGTAGTGATGAAAACTCTACCAAGGAAACAAGCTGAAGCTAGAGTCACTGGATATGGTATATTGGTAAATGAGATTTCGGACACAGCAGATTTTTCGTCCTCTTCTATTTTCTATATTACAATGGTTTGAGTGAATAAGAGAATAAGACATATATATTCTGCTCTTTGTCTTTCCAATTTCCCTAATCCCTAACAACACAGGGATGTCTTGGAATAAACTATCTCTGCTCTGATGATATCATCATTTTGTGTTATCAATAACCTCCTGAAACAAATAATGTACCTGTTAATATTTCACGTTCCAGTACCTACTATATCAATGATTTGATTTAGGTACCTACCTTTATTGAATATACTGAAAGTGCAAACATGCATAGAATCTCACATAGATTTCGAAGAAGCCAAAATATCTTGGAATAAAACATCTTTGCTCTGATGACATCATCAATCTTGTGTTCTCAATAACTTCATCTGAAACAAATAATTAACCTATTAACATTTCATGTCCAGAACCTATACTATATCAATGATTTAATTCAGGTACCTACCTTTATTGAATTCATACTGAATGTTCAAGCTTCCATACAATATTTTATAGATTCTGAAGAAGCAAAGATATCTTGGAATAAAACATGTTTGCTATGATGATATCATCAAGTTTGTGTTCTCAATAACCTCCTGAAACAGTAAATAATGTATATGAATGTATCAATATTTCATGTCCGGTACTATCAATGATTCTATTTAGTATTTACTCACCTTTGTTTCTTGCTACCTGAGAGAAATGTCATCAACAGAGATTATCATCCTTTTGTTATTGTTATCTTTTAATTCTGTGCAATAAGTTCTTCTCGCAATAATTTTGTGAAATAGAAATTTGATGAATGCATGATGGAGGTATTCAATGAATACTCTAATAATTTTGATATAATCATTATGATGTATCTTGAACAAATCATGACTATCATGAGACATAACCTCAATTCTAGTTCTTCTTTTTCTTCCTTGTGTCTTCGATGACACGTTATTTCATGGAATGTCATCTGAAGACGTCCGTGGGCACGAAATTCTTTACATCCTCAGGCTGTCACTGAACAAACCCATTTAGGACAATTGCAGCGCTAAATTTACGCCTGATGATGTTCTTAGGTTGTAGAAAATAGAACGTCCTCTCCAGGCGTTTGGCGACGCATTGAGGATGACCTTAGGCAAGTGTGTGCTATCTGGGTGGTATATTGGTAAATGAGATTTCGGACACAGCAGATTTTTCGTCCTCTTCTATTTTCTATATTACAATGGTTTGAGTGAATAAGAGAATAAGACATATATATTCTGCTCTTTGTCTTTCCAATTCCCCTAATCCCTAACAACACAGGGATGTCCTAGGTACGTCCCTTTTTTGTCCCGCGGTACAAGGACATGATTGGGGCATCCAAGGGATGTCGCGCAGTGGTTGTCCAGTGGACATCCCGCCCGGTACATCCCTAGGTTATCCTATTCGTGTCCCTGGAATATCTGATATCAAAGTATTGAGTTGCATTTTCTTGAAAATGTTTGTTTCTTCTTCCGGAAAATAATCGTAATAAAGATAAAGAATAAAGTTTCAGAACTTCTTAAGAAATTACCATTTTTCGCAAGCAGTAATCGTACATGCATAATGCCCCTCATTTTTAAACACCCCAGAATGATGTAATAATTATTCCCAAATCCTAACAGAGTTGTATTCATTCAGGTTTCTGTAGTTAAGTCCTGTTTATAAATTTGTTTAGTACATGAAACTTCAGGAGGCTCAATAGCCAATGGAGTAAGATGCGTGCCTGATAAGCCAAAGGTCCTGGGTTCAATCCGTACTCGACCTACATTTTTTTTCTTTTGTCGAAGGGATGTCCCTGGGATATCCTTGGGACGTCCCAGGGATATCCTTGAGACGTCCCAGGGATATCCTTGGGACGTCCCAGGGATATCATTTCATCGTACTTGGTACATCCCAGGGACGTACCAAAAGGACATCCCAAGGATGCCTCTTGTTGTGGAAAGCGGATGTCTCTGGGACGTCCCTAGTATGTACCATGTCAAGACACAGGATATTCCAGGGACGTCCTCGTAGGAAATGAAGGACGTCCCTGGGACGTACTCGTGTTGTTAGGGATAGCGCCTAATTGTCGATTACGATTTTGGAGGTTAGATTTTCTGTCAAATCAATCATGACCGTAGATGGAAAATAGAAAATGGATATAAACACCTACTCCAATGTATAGAGATATACGGCAGAACAACAGTTATAAAAATGAAAATAATGTAACATCATTTAAATATGACAAAATAGACACGCATTGATTTAATTATAGATAGCTAGTTCGGTCGGTATTGATGTCTTCCTCAAATTTTCAATTCCATTACGTAGGTAGTTTTGCAATCAATTCTTCTTTCTCCATGATGATTTTGTTTTGCATTGCGTGTGACGGTGATATTTTTTCAATAGTGTTCTATAAATGGATGGAACAGCAAATTCTCTCATACGGATCGTAAATTCTTCTGTTCAAAAAGGGGCCTAAAATATAGTTTTATTCTTGATAACATTCTAATCTGCTGTTATAAGAAGTGAATTTTAATGTATGTACCTCACACATTTTGTTTGTCTTCAAATAAATTTTCCATCCAGGCCGTTTCATAAATTCCTTCCATAAGGGAAAGGTTAATATTTCCTTCGGAGAATTGAATAAATGGAATCCATTCTCTCCAGAATTCCCAAAATTCATCACACAGCAGGACATTTTCGTTTATGCTTTCTTCTCGAAAGTTTATGAAATTATTAAAATTATCAAAATCTAACAATTTTGAATGAAATAACGCGGGACGACTATGGTGCTCTTGTCACAATGCACGATGTGTAACTTAATAAATCGAAACATTCGAAAACACTAATAATTGTCATTCCTGTGTCCGAATCCTAATCTAACCAATACCATCCAGTGACTCTAGCTGAAGCCAATATATATAACCTCCCACGGAAGGTTATATTTTTTCCTACCGTGAGAGTGAATTGATATTTTTGTGTCCTTAAATGAGGGAGCAATCGTTTACTTTGAATGCAGTAAGTAGATGAAGGATTTTGCGAGCTTCAAAATTCAAAAATAGCATACTTGAAAAAAATGTAAGTGTGATTTGAAACACAGTGTCACTCACTTTTAGACCTCCACATGGGCTTGACCACCTTCACCTCCACCATGAAAATCACTGCGGCAATGATCACCCCAGCTAGGGTCGCCTTCGGGATGTAGAAAAAATAGGGGGTGAAGAACAACAAGGCCAAAACGACCAGAATGCTCGTGTAGAGGCCTCCTAAGGGCGTCCGCACGCCGCTGGAATTGTTGACGGCACTCCGGGAAAGGGACCCTGTTGAAGGGAAGGCTTGCACGAAGGAATTGGCGATGTTGCAGACTCCGATGGCGATGAATTCTTGGGTGGCGTCCACCATTTTTCCATTCGCTGAAACGAAACATTCATGAGTACAAAAAATCACGACTCACCAGAAAAAAGTTCACTCATGATTATTGAAATTTTATAGTAGCGGTAGTTCAAGCAACAATCGCTCAAAAAAAGGTATAGAGGGAAAGTCTTGGAATACAATTTTTGACTTCGTTACTTTGTATGGAGTAGTAAGAAGGTGAACATATCAAAAGTCCTCGCCTGTAGCCCTTGAGCCAGATGGCTGAGGGGGTTTGAAAGGCTCATTTTTCGGTATTTTGCTTATATTACGAAAACTATGCGTCCTATCGACATGACCATACAATAAAAAATGGAAGCACATTGAATTTGCTACAAGTTTTGTCCAGTCAAACTTCCCTGAAGATGAGGAGGAACAGGATGATCCTCTGACCGTTTTCCTAGAAGAAGATGAGAACGAAGACGAGGATCAAGATCTTGGCCCCCCAAGAGACTGCAACGTCAATGAACTTCGTTTTTACTTGATAGTTGTGTGAAACTATCACAAGTCCTTCACTTATAGACAGTCATATATGCACAAACATGGTCATAGCAACAAATGTTCCGATCAAAATGGTCTAGTTTGATTAAGTGTGAGGAATCTGGTGAGCGGGCCTACAAGCATTTATTTTTCAGAATAAGTATATGTGCTATTGAGACGTGCAATATTGAATATGTTTACATAATGGTGCATATCTCGACCAATACGTTGACCGGGAATGGTGAGAAATTCATAAATTATTTATTAGTCGACAGATGCCGCAAAGTCTCAAATTTCATGCTCAACACTGAAACTGATTCAACATTTGTAGAAAAATAGATTAAATAGTGAAACAATATGTATTATTGAAGAGAATTCATTGCTCTACAACCGAGTCTACAACCCTATGACCAGCATATACTTTTGCAGGTGCATCGTTGAAGAGTTATCTGGTCAAAAAGAGCAGATGAGTGAAGCAAGAATTTTCTCTTTTAAAATTACAGACTTTCAAGAGTGGATATCTCGTAAACGATACAGAATATCAAAAAACTTGACTGGATAAAACTTGTTGCAAATTTAATGTGCTTTTATTTTTTATAGCATAGTCGTGTCGATAGGACGCATAGTTTTCGAAATATAAGCAAAAAACCGAAAAATGAGCCGTCCCTTCCCATCCGGCTCAATTCATATGTTCACCTTCTAACTAGTCCAAACAAAGTCACGAAGTCAAGAATTGTATTGTATTTCAAGCATTTTCCTCTTTACCTTTTGGTTGCCTGGGCTACGGGTTGAAAATCTATTTGTATATGGGGAAACTTCATAAAATACAATTCAGTTGAGATGAATGATCGACCATTTGTGGTAATATCTTGTACAGGTTGACTGGAATTCAAGCTTCATCATTGGGATCTCGTGAGCTGTAAGCGATACAGGGTCGGATGAATATAGCAAAGTTGGACAATTTTATGCCTAACAGAATGCAGTTTTAGAACTTGGAAAATTCCGAATACCTACTTTCAATTTTTTTTATTTTTTTCATCGCTTGGAGCGCACGAAAGGGAATCCCTATAATACCAAAATTTCCTAAAACCTCTTCTATTTTTCTTCAGTCATTTTGAATGAATTTATCGGAATAAATCGGAGGAAATACAGGCTTGAGTTTTGATGACGTTGAATTCACTAGGTTTTAGGTTGATGCCCAGGTGGTATTTCCGGAAGATCTTCATTGACCGCGTTGGCCACATGAAGCGAACTGTCTGAAAAAAAATTCGATAAGAGATGGCATAGCGGAGTTGGTGGTTTGTGGAACAGTATTTGGTGCCAAACACAGTCAAATGCCTTCGACGCCACAGCTTAGAGATATTCCTTATGTTTTACTAAATCTCCAGTTGATCTTCGGTGGCGATCAGAATTGTACAAAACATTGTAGAGTGAAGGCGCTGAGGATATGTCAATATGAAAATCTGTTGAAGTTTCGTTCATGGTTGTTGAACATATGAGAATCCACTATGTTGGGAAAAATTCCATATACATCAAAACATCCTGAATGGATATTTTTGAATCCAAAACTGTTTCGAGAGAACATCATTATGCTTCATCTTATTGCCTTCAATAAAACATCGAAAACATGCCTGTGAAACGGGACAATCCCAAACTTTTCGAAAATTATCACGTTTTCAGATATCACCAAGTAGGTCATCATTTGGAAACGGTGATATAACGAAAAAAATACTGATATTGTACTCAATGAAATAAGCTACAAGAAACTTAGAAGACATTGAAAATTGATTGATTCATTGAATTATTGACTCAGAAGTGCTGAAGCCGCAACAAGTTTTAATGCACTATTGATGGGAGTGCGCTCAACCACCAATGTATATGTGCTTGCAATTCAGTATTGAGTTGGATAAGTTTTTTGAAGCACTTCTCAAGTTGATCGTAGTTATCTTGGATGGATCAATATTACACTATTTTTAAGGCATTGGGTAATCAATGGGTATAATCAATTTTACAAAGATGACTGGAACAGTACTGGTTGAACGATGATCGAAAGATATAGGTTCCTCAATGTCATAAAGTCATCAATAAATTGACAATATGGACCATCAGCATATCAGATGCATTTTTTTTTACATAATTTTTTTCGACAATGGATAATTGATCGGTTTCCACTAGGTCTTTCATTTTGTTTTTGCTATACTTTTGCGCATACGCTGTATTTTCGTATTGTAAGATGTGAAGTGAACAAGGGCATTAATTGAATGAGTTTATCATTTATTCGCATCAAATCGAAATAACATATTTAGTTCTATAAACTGGCATTCTTCTTCGAGAGAGTCCATCGTAATATATGTACAGGGTGTCAATTTGAAAACTTCCCACCCTCAATATCTCCCTCCAAGTCGATAATATGGAAAAACGAAAAGACAGGTCGATTTTATTTTCGAGGGCGACATGGTTCTAAAATATTTTCAGCCCCGCGGCGTTGCCGCTTCTAACGAAAAGAAGCAACAACTTTGTTATTTCAAATGGAACACCCTGTATTTTATTGCATTTTTAGATTCTCCCTGAGAAGCTGATTTCATCAATGTATCACACTTGGGGTCTAGCAGGAATGATTACAGATATATAGGGTGTTCAAAATCGAGATTTTACAACTTTAGGATTTTTTTGAGTCGAAACTGTTCATTATTGGTCGAAACGGCTTCCATGTCCCTATCTCAACTTTTGATTTACTATCTACTGACATTTATTTGAAACAAATACAGGGTGATCAAAAGTCTGAATCTTGAACCACCCTGTATTTGTTTAAAATAAATGTCAGTAGATAGTAAATCGAAAGTTGAGATAAAGACATGAAAGCCGTTTTGACCAATAATGAATAGTTTCGACTCAAAAAAATCCTAAAAATGTAAAATCTCGATTTTGAACACCCTATATCTCTGTAATCATTCCTGCTAGACCCCAAGTGTGATACATTGATGAAATCAGCTTTTCAGTGAGAATCTTAAAATGCAATAAAATACAGGGTGTTCCATTTGAAATAACAAAGTTGTTGCTTCTTTTCGTTAGAAGCGGCAACGCCGCGGGGCTGAAAATATTTCAGAACCATGTCCCCCTCGAAAATAAAATCGACCTGTCTTTTCGTTTTTCCATATTATCGACTTGGAGGGAGATATTGAGGGTGGGAATTTTCAAATTGACACCCTGTATAAGTAAAGGGCAATATACTACTACCTCAGACTTGAGTCTTTCTTTCCACCTGTTGTTGCAGCAGGCTAGGTAATATGCAATTGTGATTTATAGGTTATCAATTGGTTTTCACAAATAGTTTATTCCAGATGCCAAAGAAAAGAAGTACTCGGGTTCTGGCCATATGTTCCAGATATTTCAGATAATACAATATCAATCAACAGAAACGGAATTCGTGAACTGGCTGATGACCAAATCAGATCAGATATTTAACTGAGAAGTTTTATCCTAGTTATTATAATTATTATCATTATTATCATTAGTTAAATAGTATATTTCATTTACGTGTGTGCAAATAAACCACTCAATTTCTATTAGAAATGCACTGAAAATACGTCAGTCAGTCATCACTGGGCCAATTAAGAATAACCAGTTGAAGAAAGTACTGCTTCGACAATATTGCGTCAAGCCGACCAGTGGGCAACTTCACCATTGAAAAATGCCAATACAAAGCCAATGATAGTTCGCTGGGGTGACATTGTTCTGAAAGTGATGGCCCATGTATAAATGCTTGCTGGGATTTCTGTGGTAGTTCACTGATATTCGAAAATTGAGTATTTTGAAGAGGAAATCATATACCAAAATCGAATCTGAATTTATATTTACTCTCGATATCAACGTGAATTTTTATTCGTTTCATATTATCTGAGTTATGAAGTCAATATTTGAAATTAATAAATTTCAGATATAAAATTGAATGACTATCATATTGGTTCATCAATATCTTCAATACTTACCGAAAGCCTTGCAAACAGCAATATTCTCCAAGATTATTATCAGCGGAAGCACGATAATGGCTCCTCCCAAATTTGACACCATCTCGGTGAATGACTGACTTATAACAGTGCCGTTCACCACTTTATCTATTCCAAAAGGTGGTACCTTAACCGAGGGTAGACCTGGGGGTACAGCTCCAATGAGTTTGAAAGGTGTGGGTCCATTGAGATGGAATGAGTAGCCGATGAACCCGCAAACTATGACTAGAATTGCATTTCTTCCGGTACCGATCAACCAAAGAGTGTTGTTGATCAGTTTCTGTAGTCTGGTGGGTTCTTCGATTGGGTCAGATGGGCCCACTTTCATAGAACCTATAATCTGAAACAATTTTTGATGGATAACATCAGCCATTCACCAAGAAGCTGAGCAATAAATTGAATAGGAACCAAGAAAGAATCAGTATTCAAACTTTCTGTCTCGGAAACTTAGCTGGATTCAACTTTTTCTACTTCAAATGCTATGGTACAGTCAAATGTAAAGAAAATGTCGCAGTTGGATGGTGTTTGCACTCCTATTGCAGAAGTGACTAGCAGTGCTATCACCGTCCACTAGTGACATTTTATTTGCATATGACTGTATATTTGAGTGATTCCTAGGGATAGGTACTGAAACTGCTTCATGTTGTTGCGAGAAAACTCTGGAAATGAAGTTAACATGAAAAAATAGCACTGCAATTTTTCTTGCTGAATCAATATTCAGGTATAGTTTAAACAATGTTTCATCGATTGTCACGAAATTCTCAGATATTGATGATTATTTGCATTGACTAGATATAGTTGAGCCAAAGTCAATTGGAGCGCCTCTAGCAAAGTATGTCGGCACGTGCACAAACTTCAAAAGGAACTTCAAACCCGCCGACACTACGTGGTGTATCTTTTTTGCGGGAGATGCTCCAATTGGGTGTGGATAGACGACTTGAGTACCAATATCAAAATTGATATGAGAAGTTGATCCTTAGTACACAAGGTAGCTCAAATGAATGGTCCGAATAAAAATAATATCATGTATTCTTTATCTGTAGGTCAATCGAAAATGTGGAATGTTCTTTGGGATTCTTTCTTCTCGAGTCTATGAAAAGAACAGTATTTGTAGTAGGTACAGGATGAAGGAGATTGAAATGATAGGGTTTTTATGACGACAAGAAAGAAAATGCATGAAAATTGTATCAACATCGGCGCAACCATCAGAGCGTTGCATAATGCACCCCTCATTCCGAGCAGATTTTGGTATTGGAAGTGTCAATTGCCAGGTCAAAGTGACAATTGTCACCAGTAACTAGAAAGCACGCAAACGCGCTCGTGAGATTTAGTACACATGCATCTTTATCTCATGAAAATTCGGTTTCAATAACTTTGATTTCAACATTCTATTAAAATTGTAATTTTATTCAGAATTAGTGTAGTTTGTGAAAATCGAGCAGTCGCTTTTTTCGCACCATTTCCGAAATTTTATAGTGATGTTATTTCAGTTAATGATATTTCACACTTCCTATTCGATTTATGCAAGATGCTGCAGTTTAATACTCTCCAAAGTGAATATAATTCCGGTGACAATTCGTTGTGACATTATTATTGAATGAAAAAAAAACAAAAATATCGCGGATCATATTTGTGATTATTCTCCGATTCCAATCAACATTATTATCTAGGAATTTTCGGTATTGAGTCATATTTAATTTTTTTGTCCGAATTGAAAGAATCAAGTTGGCGATTCCAATATGGCACACTGTTCTCTGATTATGGTCTGATTCGATTAAAAATTTATATCTGGGCGTTTTCGGGATCAGAGATTATGATTCTCTTGTCGAAACAAAAATTCAGGATGGCGGCTTCAAAATGGCAGACGAGTTTCGTAATTTTAGTACGATTTCAGTCAAAATTGGTAACTGGGATTTTTGAAGTCGAAGATCATGATTTTCTTGTGAAAATTCGAGGATCTAAGACGAAGGCTCCGAAATGACAGACGAAAGTGATTTCAAAAATATCATTTGTTGATGAGGAATAACTGGAAAGTTGAAACTGAAAATCGTGAGGAGATGACTTCGTTTTTTTTTCCTCAGAAAAAGACTAACATAATTGTACATTTATGTACGTCGAATTGACTTACTCTAATGTACGTTTTTAAGACGTATTTCATACGTCCTGGGAGGAATGACGTGAATGGGACATAAAATGTACGTATTTGAAATGTACATATTCAACGTCTCAAAGACTCACACGAATCTGTTGGATAATGTACGTCTTTAAGATGTCTGGTGCTGACTATTTCTTTTTGCTGAGCTTTCAAGCTCATGGAATTTGTTATTGGAATCTAAAAAAAATAATACGATATTTTTGAACCCTAGTGTTAATTTCGTAGCATCTGTGAGAAAATATATGGGTACATTATTTTGGCACTCACTAATGTTATTTAACCACCACTCAATCTTGTCTGTATCTTGGGTGATTCCCATGACATGATCTGAGAGCGAGATACTTTCCTCTCTCATTTTTTTCACGTTTACCTTCGTTTCGTTTCATTGGATGAGTAGAATATAATCTACATATAAACGATGTATTCTGAGATATTCTGAAATTGATTCAAGAATTTTGGTAGACACGAAAAGTGGCTGTTCTAGAAGCCAAATGAAGCACTGGAATTCGTATGTAATTCCTCTTAGATCACTTAGAAATTTCTTGTGTTGTTCAAATATGTTTATTGAAGAGTATGCATTGCTGGTTTTGCAGCTTAAATGTTTAATTCATCTCTAGATACTTGTTCCCCATCAAAATTCATTTGTATTGCAAACACAAGGATACCTTTTCTCTAGAAAAGCCGATCTCACTGTGCCCAACATAGGCTTGTCAGGAGTAACCATACCTTTGAAGACATCCATTTCGATGCTTGGTAATACTAACAAAAATAACCTTTCTTGAGAAAATCACGTGAGATAATCTGCTAAAAGTGCATCTCAAAAACTTGGTTTTCTGTTTCAGGCCAGGAGCTATTCCACTTCCAGTCTGCTGCTTATGATCTATAAGGCACAGATCCGACCTGTCCTGGAATACTGCTCCCATATTTGGAGTGCAGCACCCAAACATACCCTAAAACTGTTGGATTCTGTCCAAAAAACAGCAATTTGTCTCGTGAGTGATGCCTCGCTCACAAAGTCACTAACTTCTCTGGAACACCGTAGAAAAGTTGGCGATCTCGCTCTATTTTATAGATATTTTCATGGACGATGCTCTTCTGCAATATCAACAATTGTTCCCCTCTTGGCAGTCCCCGCGAGATCAACCCGTCGAGTTGAGGCTGTGCACCTCCAGAAATTCAATAAAAACAATTCCTACCATATTTTCCTTTGTTCGTACGGTGTTCTCTGAACATTACAGGATATCCATTTTCGTGAGAACCAGAACATGAAAAAAAACCTTGTTCTTGCTATTGTAAAATCCTTACTGCATTCTACAAAGTTAATTTTTGAATGATGAAAGAGTTCCCTATGTTCTACAAGACATTTCTTAGATGGAAATCGGTAACCATGATAAATACAGTCCAACTCTTGGAGTATATACTGTTGGCATTCCTGATGGTTTTGCAGTTTCAACTTCCAGTTTTCCATCAACTATTTCTCGTAATTTCGATTCCCCGATATCTCATTCTATTGTAGATGATGCTGATTCATGGCGTATATCAATCGCGCCAGTAGGGATGCGAAACGAAACGTATGTAGGTTAGTGGACGAAATCCGTCAGTTTACGTTAGGGATAGCATGGCGTGTGGGATTTTAAATATCCTGAAATGTCTCTGGGATGCAGGAGTTTTCAGTATGTCATTTATATATTATTAACTAGGTACAAGGCTCCCTCAAGTTTTATAGTATAGCTGTGGAATATTTGGCCCAATATAACATCAACAGAAAGCAAAATGTCTTACTGCGTATTTTATGATTTACCTATATATCTACTGAAGTTCAGTTGGAAAATGAAATGACATAAGGAAACGGGACTGAGCAAGGACTTGGTTGCTTGAACAATAAAAAAATATTATAGTCACTCATTTTACTGAAAAATAACTATCCAGAGGATTTCAAGAATTATTTAAGAACGAATATTGGGACATGTTCTACAGAAAACTGTAAGAATGGATCGAGTTATTTGAAAGCATTTCAAACCCCACAGCTATCTCATGAAAGTTTACGTCTTTCCCGTTTTTCTATCGCATATCGGAATTAATGATGTTGAACCTGGAACATATCTTCATTCATGTGGAATGTATTTCCTGATTGATAAATAGATAAATACTTATTTTATTGCTTTCCGAAACACTACAGTTTTATAGCAAGAATTCTGGTAAATCAACAATTTGCATAATTTGAATGTACGACTGAAACAAGTATCTTCACTGACGTGATAAAGCATGGATTTCACCCAAAAATGAAATTTGCATACGAAAAAAACTTGGGAACCATAACAGTTCTTGTGACAGGTAATATAGGAGGGAAAAAATTGACGACATAAAAAACCAATTGGACCTCGAAACATTAGAGTGAATGGATGAGTGAGTGACACCAACGCTTTCAATGAAGATCTTGCGGAAATTACAGCCTGGGGATCCAGCAACCTAGTTAAATTCAACGCCACCAAAACTGAAGCCTGTTTTTCCTCTAGAGGAGCGAAACTTAGTTTGCCTGATATAACAATATCTGGTATCATCATTCCCATCAAGAGCACTATATTTATGCTAGGTATTACCATAGCAACTCTGTCATGGGAAAATCATGTCCGATCCATCGCAAGAGCGGCTTTACATAAACTCGGATTCTTGTTCAGTGCGAAAATATACTATACACCTCAACAGCTTCTCATGATCTACAAAGCTCAGATACGGCCAGTTTCAGAATATTGTTCTCACATGTATGAGGCTCAGCACCCAAACATGAGCTGATGCTCTTAGATTCCATCCAGAAAAGAGCGATTCGCCTGGTGGGTGAAACCGCACGCTTACTAACTTTTTGACTCCATTAGAACATCGTTGAAAAGTCGGCGACCTATCGCTTTCCTATAGATACTTCCACGGGAAATGTTTCTCAGAAATCTCTGCTATAGTTCCATCACAAGCAATGCCAGTCAAACGAACTCTCGTCAGTGCTGTCTTTCGTCGTTGACCTTGAAAAATGTCGAACAACACTCTACCAAACCTGTTTGTCTGTAAAACTGCGAAGCTTTGGAATTCTCTGCCAATGGAGATATTCCCAAAAACTCATAACCTCCAAGAATTGAAAAAATCCCAACACCTACCGTTAGTTCCCATCCTCAGCACTAGGTACGCACGATGTTACACAAACATTATAGGAATTTCCTTTCGTGCGCTCCAAGAGACAAAAAAATGTATTCTTTCAGAGCTTTGGGCTTCGGCAGAAGTTACTGCAAACTAACCAACCCTACAAGTAGAAATTGAAATCCCCACCAATATGATCACAATTTTCGTATGACAGTACTATACTCCAGAAAGGGAAACCTGAAGAAGTTCTAGCAAACAACCAATCTACAAAGAAGGTTCAAGATGATATGAATTTGAATTGGGGATAGGTAAACAAAGAAAAAATTCACCAAGGCGATTATTCAATGAGCTTGACGGTATACATAGAACTTTCCTACAGAACACAAAAACTTCCAGTGGGTCTGCCGAATGATTTTTCTTTGATTGCAGGCTTAAGTCACTATGGGATGCGGTGATTTCAATATTAGCACTCACTAATTAGGTTTGACAGAGATAGATGATTTGAGAGGCACTATAGAAATTGGTTGCTGAATCCGACCAGCACGTTTTTCGAGATCTCAATCCCTGAGACACTCTGAGGAAATCTTCATCGTCTTCTGTACTCCGTCTGTCTTCATAATTTTCGATTCGAGTTACGTTTGTTGAAAGATCATTCATATATTTGATTGGTTGACTATCTTCGCCTTTACTGATTCTGCCGTTTAGCTCGATCAGTCCTCAAGTCTTTCAAATAATTATTCTGGGAAGGTAATAGATGAGGTTTCAGACGAATATTTCGAAACCTATTCCAAGGAATGATGAATAAGTTCTTCAGTATAGATAGATACACTTAGGAGGATGATCAAACCACTCTCCAAAATTCGAGGTTCATCCACATCAATGGATTTGACACCAAGGCGGGAAACATTGACTATACTATGGGGACAGTTTCAGGTGCTAAACTGTTCAGTATTCAACTTCATCCATAGTGGAAGAAGAAGATGGTGTGCATACGCGCATATTATGTGACGCCATCTGGGATACCAATGAAAGCTGCTAGTCAAAGACAGATAAAGTAATCATAGGCATGCGCTATGAATTTATTCAAGTTTATTGAAAAATCTATGAGTTTCTCGATCTGTCCAGGAATAATTCAATTTATATAAATGGGTACCTATTCCTTCGATTCAATTATTTCACTGATCCTGAAATTTGTTATCGCAATCGCAAATACATACGAATTATTATGCATTGCCAATTCCATCGAATGATCCGTTATTGTATCAATTCTCACCGATTCAAATTCAGAAGTTGACGTTGGTACTGCTTTGACATCGAGGACAAGAGTATAATTTTTTGCCGTTTTCATATTCATATTCAAATCTTTGCTGCAATTTATATTTTGTGGAAAATTAAGTCTTTTGAATAAATTTTCAATTATATCTAGATCAACATTCGACGAAAGATGTTCTGTAGCAATGGCTTCTGTTTCAAATATGTGTATAAGTATTCGTGGTTTTTTGGAGATGTGTAATTCAACAACTGTACTTCCAAACTTGTAAGGAACAGTTTCACATGGAAATGTTGCGATTAACCTCCAGACAGTATTTGAATTAATACGTTCTGGAATATGCATGTGATGATATGGTAGGTAAATACTCTGGAATTGAGGTAGCTACCATTATTTAAATTAGTTCATGTTCATTTCATTAGGAATTTTAATAACCAGAAACGACACAAATGGGAATTTCGAAATTATTTCATCCAAATGTCGAACCCACATATTTGAATTGAGACATCGAACACGAAAACAAATAATTTCAATGACAGTTATATCCCAGTTGACGTCGTGCGCAGAACAAGACGAGTTTGAAATTTTCAGTCGAGCACACCATCTTCTCTTTTCATTATGACTTCATCCATATCGTTATGAGGATAACTCACGAAAATGTCTCGATTGTATCACACTCACCCTCAAAATGAGCAGAACAGCTATACAGACCACCCCTAAGGTGGCGTCCCATGCTCGCGTGTTGTGGATGTCTTCGAACAGACTCTTCCACGTGGCGACGAACGTGCCGCCGGACGCTCTCACGCCTAGCACGTCTTTCACTTGTGACGTCACGATAATCAGAGCCACCGCTGACGTGAAACCGGACGCGACGGGACCCGATACGAAGTCGATCAAGAATCCTGGAAATAATAGTGAATATAAATAAATGAGAAATGTTGATACCTATAATGAAGTTCATATTTTGTCACCATATAATTTCACTGCACAACCAAACAACAGATGAATTGACACTTGATGAGGATTCGCGATGAACTTCAACGACCAACAAGCGAGCATTACAATTGTTTGAGGCATCTGTTCAGTATATGTATCAACGTCAAAACTGCATGCGTTCGATCTTTGTTTTGGAGTCTTGTTCGAATAAGGTATATGCCTATATAATTTCTTGTAGATTTCGTCAGAGCCGACTTTTCTGTAATCTCATTATCGTTAGTATGTCAGCCATTTCCACGTTGTTTGTGCTTGATGTAATGTGAATAATGTGTATCATCAATCTTGTGGAGGTTGTTTGTATGTTCAATTCCAGCATACAACTTCCAGAGTTAACAACTTCCTTCCATTTGTTGTTTTAAGGTCAGTGATCGATATTTGCCGCTTTCCAACTGCTATAGCAAGTACCAAGTAGCTTTTGTAGATCATGAATTGACTAACAGCGTTCTCATTGTCAATCATACCTAATTTTTCATAACGGGGGATACCCAGAGTTAACTCGGTTCTTCTCGCTGTGGCAATTGGAAAGCGACTAGCGGCGTTGAACTTGTAGAATGAGTCATGCCAAAACTGCAACACAGAAATCACAAGAAACTCTTCAGATCGGCCACCAGCGTTGCCAAACTTCGTTTGACATTTCGATGAGGTGCTTTTTGGAATCAGCTGATCTCTGTCAGCTTTTTATCAGCAAATATGGTCATCTGTTATTTTGATAACATATTCGTGATTGGATTGTAAACTAATGGTGAATGGTAAATGTATTCAAATTGTCAAACAGATGAGATTATAAACTTAAGAATGCAAGGAAGAAACCCGTGCTCTGATCGTCGACAAGTAGCAATTAGGAACTGTATCTATAGAATTTTGATGATTTCAGGTACGACTATAAGAAGTCCATGTCGGAAAATGGAATACATTGGAAAGATTAGGATTCCTCTTATTGATCGAGTTACTGTTCAAATGAAAACTTGCCGGTTCTAGATTGCTAGTCGAATTTGTTTGCCAATCGACATAACATACAATTATATAATTATCGATAATTTATATGTTATAAGTTGATAGTATAGGGTCTATAGATACAAATACACCTTCCTGAAAGTGATTCTGGCGGCTCTCATGATTGAAAGATCAAGATCGCTGAGAGTTTTCTCTTTGATGAAGCCACTACCCAATAAACACAGCTACGTGGAAAAAACGTTGAATTGTTCAAGTAACGCCTCTATTATTCATCGTTGAAAAAACGGCAAAATGTCGTTAGGCAATACGTTTTATTCTGGTTCTACAGTAACGTTACCTCTTCACGTTGATTCATCGTAACTAAGACGTTGCACACGTAGCACACGTAATGTGAATTCTACTGATATATACCGTTTTATTTCAGTTCCGACGTAACCATTCAAATCAACAGTTTCTTAACGTTTTCTATACGTTTCCAACCGATTTAAATATAACGATGTATTTTGGTTTCAAACTTGGTTTCAAAGTAACGTTGCTGAGATACGAATTGTGAACGTTGATGTTAACTCTAGAATTAAACGTGAAATTGCAGAATTCAAGTAACGTTGATCTTTTAGATTGAATCAACGATGATTTATCTTATCGTCGAATCGATATTACTACCAATTTTAAACGTAACTAAAACGTTTCTGAGACATTAGGTGAAGTAACGTTTCCATTTTCACTACGGATCAATCTCTATTATCATCGCAAATTGATTAAAAATAATAAAAATAACCAAAATACATATACAAGATTCATAATGTGTATAGTCCTAGATCCTAGATATCAATGGAATCTCAATCAGATAGGTATCACTATTTTGTTTTCGACTCGAGACTTGATGGCGTCATTCATCCGTTTCTTCGCAAACTTCAACCAGTCCTTGGTTGCATCTGCAATATGGACATCAGTTGCTGCTTCAAACTTCCTTTCGACAGCAACTGCATAAATTATTCAATATGAATATAATGAAAAACGAAAAAAGAAATTTACATACCATAAATTAGTTGGATCACCTTTGTGTCCTTGAGTGCAGCCACTTTTCCTTTGCCTTTTTATTTGTAAAGGCGAACTAGCTCATTGGTTCTCAAAATCCTCCATGTATGTTCCTCTGGAGAATTGCCAGCAATTGACTTCAATTTTGTTATCTGAAATTTCGGCTCATTTGTGATCGAAACAAATTCTGGAGAATCAATGATAATTATTTATGAAATGTCTGTCTCATCATTCCTATCAATGTTCCTGAATATTGAGTACCGGTTTTCAACCGTTTTCCTACCTTTATTTCATCAACGCATTCAAGAAGTGTTTCATCTACCTTCTATACACGTTTCATCACCGTTATAAGAGGTGGTTAGACAAAACGACTCCAATAATGAGATGTGATTTTTCTCGACCAAGAATTTATAACTATGAAATATAATTAAAACTCCATGATATAAATTTGTGCAAGTTGGACTAAGTACCTACTGCATGGGAGTTTGTAAACCTTCCGACATGACATAATCGAATAAGTAGGTATAACTTTTGATAGGTGAATGTACTCATTTTGCTTCAAATTGATCATCCTTGCAATCGTCTTCAAGGGATGACCATTGGAAATATTCGGAATTTGCACAATAATAGGTAGAATTCAATAATAAAGTGGGTACTTACCAATCTCATATCTTCTCACATCTACGCATAACCTCTGAAGAATCACAATAAACTGTTAACCTTAATGGCGTCAGACGAACTGTGAGCATACTTGCGAGTGGCGGTGGCGGACTGCCGATAGGTCAGGTTCATTCAATACGAATACTTTTGAATAATTCATCCAACGGATCGAACACGTATTTTCAGAACGTTTAATAAACGTTAAAAAAGTTGTAATTATAGAACGTGGTATTAAGGTCGTTAATGCCACGTTCTATAATTACAACTTTTTTAACGTTTATTAAACGTTCTGAAAATACGTGTTCGATCCGTTGGATGAATTATTAGTTGTTATTCAAAAATTCATTCAACGGATCGCACACGTAATTTCATAACGTTTAATGAACGTGAAGAAAAAAGTGCATGAAACGTGGAATAACGGTTTCTTGAAGATATAGTTGCTATGGAATAATTCATTCACCGTATCATACACGTAATTTTAAAATGTTTAATGAACGTAAAAAAGTATCTATCAATTCAAAACTGGAACATTATAGATTGCCCGAAGATGAAGTTATCATTGAATACTTTATTAAACGGATCATTCACGTAATTTCATAACGTTTAATAAACGCGGAGAAAGTAGTGATTGAAACGTGGAATAAAGGTTGCTCAAAGATATAGTTGCTATTGAAAAATTATTCAACGGGTCATACACGTGATCTCAAAACGTTTAATAAACGTGAAACAGAGTAGTAATTGAAACGTGAAATATAGGTTGCTTCAAAATATAGTTGTTATTGAATAATTGATTCAACAGACTTTATACGTGATTTTGGAACGTTGAATGAACGTAAAAAAAAATACGTAATTGAAACGTGATAAAGAGGTTGCTCAAAGATTCAGGTTGCTGAACAATATCATACTCGACGTTATTTCGATGTTCTATGAACCTCATTGAATATACGATGAGGAATCACGATAATGACACGTTTCATACTGGTGGCTATATAGACGAGTTGAATCATTATCGTTTATTATAAGTTGATTCAACGTTTGGTTGAATATACGTTACGAAAGTAACGTTGCGAAATTCAACGAGTAACGTTTAATCAACATCCACTACTATACATAAACGTATATTACACGTGTGTGTGTTTATTGGGTATCATCTATATGAGTCGTGGAAAGTATTGAAATACAATATATTCAAGTTCAGCAAATATGATCCACGACAAAGAATGATAGAACTACCTACTAATATGTATATGTATATTGGATTACAACTTTAGGTCTCGTGCATGATGACCGACCCTGGAGGTGAAAAATTGAAACGCAACCTCACTTTTCTGTAAAATGAAGAAACACAACCACATTTTCCTTATTTTCTCATTCGTTCACAAAGAAACCAGAGGACTCATATAATTTCTCACATTATTTCGGCCTATACGATCAAGCATGCGATCTCATGGGGCTGTTGTACAATGCACAAAAAATGCAGCGAGAGACGAAGAAATCCGATTTTTCAGGTAGGTACTTTGTGATCTAAAATTAGAGCTATTGATATTTTTCCATTTCTTCATTGGAATTCCTTCTGAAATAATAGCTAATAGAAATACTATAAGCACCTCCTAGTAGTTTTTTGATAGAACAAGGCATCACATATAGTTTGGTTATATATTCTCCTGTATGGAACTCGAATATATCAATTGAGTATAATAATAAAAATAATAATAATAATAATAATAATAATAATAATAATAATAATAATAATAATAATGTTTATTCAAAAAAGGAAATAAATATATACACTAGTTAATTATGTAACAAAGATGTGGATAAACATTAAAAATCCCATGTAACCTCAATGTAGGTTGTTTGGGAGAAACAATACTAAACAAAAAATTTTATATAAAAAAAAAATACATGTACTTAAGATAATGGGGATATATAGAGAGAATAAATGTACACTATAGGTTTATGAATATAATAATATTAGACAGTATGATAAAGTTATTTATGTCTCGATCGATTCATTCATCGTGATTATTGGTAGATTCAATAAAGAAATTTTGAATAACTTTTTTATAAGTGGAAAAGAATTTATAATATGAATATAGGATTTATATATTTCAGGTAGGAAGTTAAAGATTTTCCCAGCCAAATAGGTGAAACATCTCTGACCTGTAGATTTCTGTGTTCTTGCTAACACTACATTATCATTACTTTGAATTCTAGTATGATACTTGTGTTTTGTCTTCTGCAATAGATCTTT